CGGACCCCCCCCCGGGGCATTTAAATTATCTAAATTATTTAAATTATGTAAATTATTTCAATTATTTAAATTATGTAAATAATTTAAATCATTTAAAATATATTTAAATTATTTAAATTATTTAGATTTTATAAATTATTTAGTTTTTTTAAATTATTTAAATTATTTGCATTATTTAAATTATTAAATTATTTAAATTATGTAAATTATTTAAATTAATAAAAATTATTTAAATTATGTAAATTATGTAAATTATGTAAATTATTTAATTCGGGCCGGTGAAATAAATAATGAAAATAATGTAAATAATGTAAATAATGTAAATAATTTAAATAATTTAATTTTCTTAAATAATTTAAATAATTTAGATATCTGGGGCATTTAACTTATTTGAATGGGGGGTCCATTATTTAAATTATTTAATTCCCCGGCTCGTAATTTGGTATTGGGGGAAGGCCCGGGCTCGTAATTAAGTAATGGGGGGAGGCCCGGGCTCGTAATTTAGTATTGGGGGAGGCCCGGGCTCGTAATTTAGTATTGGGGGTGGTTCCGGGGAATTGAATAATTTAAATAATTTACATCATTTAATTACTTTAAATAATTTAAATAATGTAAGTATTTAAATAATTTAAATAATATACATAATTTAAATAATTTAAATGCCCCAGGGGGGGGGTCCGGGCCCCCTGCCTCCCGGGAAATAAAATATTCAAATAATTTAAATACCTGGGGCATCTACATTATTTAAATTACTTAATTCCCCGGCCCGGACTAAATAATTTAATTAATTTAAACAATTTAAATGCCCCAGGTATGTAAATGATTTAACTTATTTAATTCCCGGGAGGCAGGGGCCCGGACCCCCCCGGGGGGCATTTACATTACTTCAATTATTTAGATTATTTAAATTGTTTAATTTATTTAAATTATTTAAATTATTTAAATGATTTAAATGATTTACAATTATTTACATTAGTTAAATTATTCTGAATTATTCTGAATTCTTTAAATTATTTAATTCCCCGGCCCGAATTAAAAAATGTAAAAAATATAAATACCTTGGGCATTTGAATTATTTAAATGGAGGTCCACTATTTAAATTATTTAATTCCTCGGCTCGTCATTTAGTGTTGGGGGAAGGCACGGGCTCGTAATTAATAAGTATTGGGGGAAGGCCCGGGCTCGTAGTTAAGTATCGGGGGGAGGCCCGGCTCGTAATTTAGTATTGGGGGAGGCCCGGGGGGGGGGGGGGGGTATTGGGGGTGGTTCCAGGGAATTGAATAATTTAAATAATGTAAATAAGTTATTTACAAAAATCTAAAAAACTTAAATATTCTAATTTATTTCTTTACTTTAAATGCCCCAGGGGGGGGGGGTCCGGGCCGGGCCCCCTGCCTCCCGGGAATTAAATAATTTAAGTAATTTAAACACCTGGGGCATTTAAGTTATTTAAATTATTTAAATTGTTTAATTCGGGCCGGGCCGGGGAATTCAATAATCTAAATATTTGTTTAAACAATTTAAATATTTTAAATGCCCCAGGCATTTAAATTATTTAATTCCCGGGAGGCAGGGGCCCGGACCCCATTTAAATTATTTAATTTATTTAAATTATTTAAATTATTCAAATTATTTAAATTTTTGTAATTATGTAAATCATTTAAATTATCTAAATTGTTTAAATTATTTAAATTATTTAAATTATCTAAATTGTTTAAAGTATTTAAATTATTTAAATCATTTCAATTATTTCAATTATTCAAATTATTTAAATTATTCAAATTATTTACATTATTTAAATTTTTTAAATTGTTAAATTATTTAAAATATTTAACTTAATTTAAATTATTAATTCACCGGACCGAATTAAATAATTTAAAGAATTTAAATACCTGGGGCATTTAAAATTATTTGAATGGGGGGTCCATTGTTTAAAGTTTTTTTTAATTCCTCGGCTCGTAATTTAGTATTGGGGGAAGGCCCGGGCTCGTAATTAATAAGTATTGGGGGAAGGCCCGGGCTCGTAATTTAGTATTGGGGAGAGGCCCGGGTTCGTGCTTTAGTATTGGGGGGAAGCCCGGGCTCGTAAGATGGTTCCGGGGAATTAAATAATTTAAATAATTTAAATAATGAAAATAATTTAAATGCCCCAGGGGGGGGGGTCCGGGCCCCCTGCCTCCCGGGAATTTAATAATTTAAATATTTTAAATAATTTAAATACCTTGTGCATGTAAGTCATTTAAATTATGTAAATTATTTAAATTATTTAACTCCCGGCCCGAATAAAATAATTTCAATAATTTGAATAATTTGGGGGGTCCATTATTTAAATCTATAATTCACCGGCTCGGAATTAAGTATTGGGGGAGGGCCCGGGCTCGTAATTAAGTATTGGGGGGAGGCCCGGGCTCGTGATTTAGTATTGGGTGGAGGCCCGCGCTAGTGTTTTGGTATTGGGGGGAGGCCCGGGCTCGTAATTTAGTATTGGCGGTGGTTCCGGGGAAATAAATAATTTACATAATTTACCTACTTCAAATAATTTACCTAATTTAAACAATTTAAATGCCCCAGGGGGGGGGTCCGGGCCCCCTGCCTCCCGGGAATGAAATAATTTAAATAATTTAAATACGTGCGGCATTCAAATTATTTAAACTATTTAAATTATTCAAATTCTTTAAATTAGTTAAATTTTTTAATTCCCCGGCCCGAATTCAATAATTTAAATCATTTTGGGGGGTCCATTATTTCACTTATTTAATTCATCGGCTCGTAATTTAGTATTGGGGGAAGGCCCAGGGCTCGTAATTAAGTATTGGGAGAAGGCCCGGGCTCGTGATTTAGTATTGGGGGGAGGCCCGGGCTCGTGATTTCGTATTGGGGGGAGGCCCGGGCTCGTCATTTAGTATTGGGGGTGGTTCTGGGGAATCAAATAGGGGGGGGGGGGGGGGGGGGCCGGGGCCCCTGCCTCCCGGGAATTACATAATTTAAATAATTTAAATACCTGGGGCATTTAAATTATTTAAATGATTAAAAATATTGAAAGTACTTGAATTACTTAATTCCCCGGCCCGAATTAAATAATTTAAATACTGTAAATAATTGAAACAATGTAAATAATTTAAATAATTTTGGGGGGTCCATTATTTACAAACTATTTAAATTATTTAATTCCCGGGAGGCAAGGGGCCCGGACCCCCCTCTCTGGGGCATTTAACTTATTTAAATTATTTCAATTATTTCAATTATTTAAATTATTTTGACTATTTTACATTTCCTAATTCTTGACCCCCAGCCCCCCAGAAACCCAAATAGGGTTTTATTTAGGTTTCTTAACCCTTCAGTAAAGAAATTAAGGCATTGAAATCCCTTATCTTAACCACCTTCAACAAACAGAAAACCTGAATTGAATTGATTCCCCTTTGGACTTAATTTAGTTTATTCATTTCACTTAGTTAAGGGTCTACTAGTGTAATTCATTCACTTAACCCTTCAGAAAACCAGTTCAACTGTTGAAATTACTTCACTTAACTGAATTCCAAAAAAACCGTAGTCTATTTTGTTTTACTGCATTTGCTAACAAAGGGGACGGGTCAATGAACACAAAAAAAACTAAGTATGAAAGTTAACGCTTTCATGACGCAATGAAATCAGCTTTCCTAACAAGTACATTCGCATTGATGGGTTGGAAACACAACTTATCATCTATTTAGCTTTACACTCATCATCCATTTCGTCTGGTTACGGGTGAAATAAAGGATCGAGACTTAGCTGCGAGTTCAACGTATTTATTTAACCTTAACATATCCGCCGAGGCCTCGGGCCGGAGGTGTATAGGTTGTCAGAGCAGGCACCCCCCTCCAAATCCTCCCCCCACACCCAAAGCCACTTTTCGGACCCCTTTTTTGCCTCAAATGGGTACCCCCCCCAGGAAACCGGGGTCCGCAAGCGGACGGTTTGCCAGGACCAGAGGCAGTTGAAGCCCCTCCCAGCAGGCGCCCCCCACCCCCCCCCCACCCCCCCCACAGCCCCCCCCCCACCCCACCCCCAGTTGGTGAGCGGGTTTTTTGAGTCTAAGCTTAAACCCTAAACCTTACATCTTAAACCTTAAGCCCGAAGCACTCAACCGCCCCCCCTCCCCCCTCTGCCCCCCCCCCCCCTTCCCCTGCCCCCCTTCCCCCCCCACTCCCCCTACCCCAATGAGGGGCCTGGCTCAAGCCTACGATCAATCCAAGCCCAACCGTCTTGAACCCTGCTCCCAAAAAAACCCTAAACCCCAAAGCGTGAACCTTGAGCCCTAAGCCCTCAATCCTAAACTAAACCATAAACCATAAACCCGGAACCCTAAACCCTAAACCCTGAACCCAACCCTTATTGCTTGGGGTCCAGCGACTTGGGCGCTGCGGAATCACCATGCTCACGCGGATGCGCTGGGCCGGGCCGAGGCGGGTCGCGTAGCGTTAAAATTAAGAAAATCGATGCAGCTTTAAAGCCAGGGCCGAACTAATTATTCCTCTAAAGCAATTACATCAGACACACGAATTCAATGAGTTTTGAAAGTGATTTAAGGAATGTGTTTCACTGAATTAATTGAGCTAACGGTCTACTTTTTCAAATGCATTCACTTCACCCTGAAATAGATTAAATACATTAATCCAACCATTGATATTACATTAACTAAGTCAATTCAAAACTAAGTGCTTGTCTTTACTAATTACTCCAACATAAGTCAATTTCAAGGAGCAAAAACCCTTCGTTAAACTAAGTACTGTGTTTGTGACCGAAAACAATGAAAACATTTTGCCCAGTCGAATTCATGCTTATGTGAAGCAAAATTAGATCAGGTTTCCGAATGAGTATGTTTTACTCGATGAAATACATGGACAACTTTTGATTCATCTCACTCATGGTTCATTACATTCAGTGAATTGGCTACTTCGAGGTGGTTGAAAACATCGTTTAATCAAATTCGGTATGAACTACGTTCGACATAACTAGTAAAATCACCCTTGCCGTGCTTTCGCCCATGTGCATGGCAGCATCATCCACTCGATGCCATCTGGTCCTTGTAGCGTTCTTTTGGCGTGTGTTCGTTCATGCGATGCATAAGAAGCTAACTTTTGCTGCAAGACCTAGGCGCCGGGGGAGGGGGGGCGGGGTAGAACGCATATATATATATATATATATATATATATATGTATGCTATCTTGTTCTTAACTGCCGGGCTTTGTTACATTCTCTTCTTCTTCTTCTTCTTCTTCTTCTTCTTCTTCTTCTTCTTCTTCTTCTTCTTTATCTTCTTCGTCTGCTTCTTCTTCTGCTTCGTCTTTGACCTCTGTCGGTTGTTAAGCGGGGCACCAGCTTCGCTGCCTCTGGCTCCACCAAGCGCCGCCAGATTGCTTGCGGCGAGCCCGGCGATCCTGGGGGGCTTTTCACTTCAGATTGAGATCAGGAAAATTGAAAAGCTGCGCCCAAGTCTCGCCATGAAAAGAGAGTAGCTCTCTATTGCACATCATAAAAACAAAACGAGGGGAAGAGCAGAGAACACTCTCAGAGAGCTTCTGGCGAGGGGGGGGGGGGGAGAAGAGAAGAGGAAGACTTGAAGAGGCGCCTCGAGCCGTGATGCCAGCGCCATACTCCGAGTACAACTGCGAGAAATCGTGCACGGGCGCCGGCCCCAGCTTCTTAATCACTTCCGGCTTCCTTCGAGACTCAGCACTTAGCAGGCCTTCAGCTAGAACAAACAAGCTTGAGAAACGCTGACTCAAAACACACTCTTCGGGAACTCCACACAGGGCGGGAATCTTGTTCATTGTGGCCATGTGGTCCAGAACGATTCTCGCCTGTACATCGCACTTCCGGCCCGCACTTCGCATGCGCTCAGCTCGAGAGAATCTGCATTACTGAAACCAGAGAGCGGGAAAGATATGGAAAGATCGCAAAAGCCCTCATGTAAGCACTGCTTTGCCGCGTGTTTGCCGCGTTAAGCCGGTAGCTGCTGTTCAAAGAGCTCGCCTCGATGAGGCGACCGTGAACAGCCAACCAGTGAGGGGAGTCCTGGAGTCAGGGCAGAGGGCGGAGTCAGGGCGGCCTGGGGCCCAGAGTCCAAAGTCTGCGCTCGAGCCTACACTGGAGCCTTGTTGAGGTGTAGTTCGGTGTAGCACTCAACTCACGAAAACACAATGAAATCATTAAAACACCAAACGCTCAGACTCAGACCCAACCTTTACTGAATAGTTCGGCACCCATCACGCCTGCAGCTTTGCCACCGAGAAGATCCTGGGCTTTTCGACAGATCTAGCAGATCTAGCAGATCCAGCACCGAACCAGCAGCTCACATGAGAAAAGAGAGGAGCGTTCACGGATTGCAGAAATGAATCACTTTTTTTCCGGCAACGCACCCTGTGTCATCCCTGTGTTCTGTTTTCTTGTTTTCTTTGTGTCTCTCCTCTCGTGATGATTTCCATGGCTTCTCGCTTGTTTCCGGCATGCTTCTGGGCAGATTCCTGGAGCGACTCTTTGCCTAGGCTTTTGGGCGGCCGTGACAACATGAACTCGGATTGGATGCTTTGGATGCTTTGGATGCTGTGGATGCTGCGGATGCCTTGTTTTGCCTTTAACAGGTGCAGCTGTGAAGCAGCATCACCAAGGCCGGCAAGGAGGACCAAAGGACGGCCTTTTGCGCAGTCTCTCCTGGTTTTCTCTCCTTGTTCTCTCTCCTTGTTCTCTCTCGAGTTCTCAACTGTTCTCATGTTCTCAAATGACTGTCCTTGTGACACTTGAAGTCACTTGTTTGAAAAAAAACACACGCTTTTTACCGCTTTTTAACTTGGTCTCATGGCCTGCTTCCAGCTGCTCTCACTCAGCTCGGGCATAAAGAGCATGAGGCCACAGCAGGAGTAGAGCTCTCCAACAGCCGTGGAACTCCAGAAGACCACGAAGACGAATCGGCGCCTCTGTAAAAACACCAGAAAAAGCAGTCTTCATCTCAAACGTTCTTTATTTATTCTTTTGAGCTCCCAAACTGCCCTTGACCTCACTGTGCCACTGTGCAAGGCCCACACATCTGTGCCATGAGTCGGAAACTCGGGGAATTTTGTGTCCCTAGTTCATATGGTCATATGGATTCGCACACTCCAAGCGGCCAGGCACTCGGCACTGTCTCGGCGATCATGGACATGGCTGGGGGCACCCCCAAGCCGCAGCAGCAGCCATGCAAGAAACGCCTGTCATGCAAGGAGCATCTGTTCTAGTTCCTGTTCCCGACATTTCTCGACCACCTCAGGCCCGTAGCCGGAACACCCCGTGTTTCAGCTCACCCCTGCAGGGATCAAAAGGGTTTTTTTGCAGGGTCTCCGGGGCTTTCCGAAATAGTTGGCTCTGTTTTCGGGAACCACGGGAAGCCTCGGATCAGGGCAACGATTCTTTTCCAAAGTATGGCGAAGGGTTTTTTCAGCGGAGGTGGTCTTCGAGAAGGTTGTTGTTATCGCTAATGAATGGATCGCCATCGTGATGGCTTGATGTGGGGAGAAGTATGCTGCTTAAAAAACTTTAGCATGTGCTATAGCGCGGGGGTAGGGTTTGCGGGACCGGGTGTGCTCGAAATGCTGGGTTGCTTGCGGGGAGTCCGGGGAGTCCTGACGCCGCGCGTGGGGCATCCTGCACTGCACAAACGACGACCCTCTCGGTGCTCCCATCGTGTCCTGACATGTGGGGGCTCGAAGGGGCGCAACCGGCCCCTTCTGCTTGTAGCCTCACCGGACTACACCGGACTACACCGGACTACACCGTTTGCACCAGACCCTCCCTCATGCCAATTGTCCCCTGCTGCCAAGGCGACCGCATGCACCACATCGCTGTCAGAGGCAAATAGTCTTGAAAACGAAAGAAAGGCGCCTGTTTCTGCTGAGCACAACCTAGAGAATGGTTGCGCAGAAACGGTTTTGAGCCACGAGTAAAACCAAGTGAGACCTTCAAGTTTCAGCAAGACGAAACGTTTGGAAGACGACACGACGACACGGTTCATCTGAGACATCATCCCAATCGACACCATCTCCCACAGCTCACGACCATAGGGAGCCCCACCTGGAACTTCCGCTGAAATCCCCCGGCCCAGAGAGAGAGAGAGAGAGTCTCGACTTCGGGCTCTCTTTTCGTCGTATAAAAAAAAACCTTCAAAATGGAGGCCAACTGGCAACTTTAGCAAACGTTAGTGCAGCTTCGTAAATGTAGTCGTTCGTGCTAGGCGGAGGTCAGGCCCGCGGTCAACGCATTGTATGCGAAGCTTTCATCCAATACGAAGGTGCAAGCTTCCTCAAGAACCACCTGAAGCACTTGAAGCTCTTGAAAGCACGGAGCAAAAAAACGAGAGAGCGAGTGCAGAGCGAGTGGAAGAGAGGCAATCACTCTCTCCTGTCTTGCCAGGCGTGGAAATGTCAGTCAGGAAAACATCAGGAAAGCTGCCATCCATGCACATTGCTCAAGTCCAGCTCAAGTCCAGAGAAGCTCCCGAACAAACATGGAAGAACCGCAGCAGAATTATGGCGCCATAGCCGGTAGCCAAGGTCATGAGAATCGCTGTCAGAAACCTGGAGTTGAAGGAAAGGCACTCAAAGCAGTGAACGCCTCGCTTTTCTCTTTGACAGAGCCGTGTGGCCTGAGCATATGAGCCTCTATTTCCATTCCTTTTTTTCAGGGGCAGTGTTCATTCCCATTAGGTGTTTGTGGTGGGGCAAAAAGTGTAAAGCGTCTCGCCCCCCCCCCCCCCCCCCCCCCTTGCTCCCCCGGCCAGCTCCGGCCGCCTCTGACTCGCTAACTCTCTCTCTGACTCTCTATGTCTTTCTGTCTCTGTGCCAAGGTGCGTGCCAAGGAAGGAGAGGACCATCGGGAGCCGCCGCCCCTTTAGGTCCGCCAGGAAGCCTGCGACGTAGTGGCCGACCGCCATCCCCAAGAAGGAGAAGGCGTCCTCAGAAAGAAATACAATGGGAGAGAAGCGAGACAATGTGCGAGAAAAATGACACGCCCCAACTATCCGTTCTTGTTCATCACAAAAAAATCCCGGCAGGTATCCCCAACAGCAGCAGAACGTGCAAAGGCAAGCACGCGCTCCGAATCCAATAGCAGCTGGTTGTGACAGGCGCGTGCGGACTCCTTGAGCACGCACGTTTTCGGATTGTCTTCACATGCGTTCTTGAAGCGCGTGGTGACCGCGAAGCCGCACGCTCATGCGAGCGCGCACTCTGCACCCCAGCCAACAGTGCTTCCTTTCAAGCTTCCCGCTTGAAGAGGCGCTCGCTCCTTGAGCTTTCCGGGGTCTTGCCATGTGAACTCACGACAGGACGTGACAGGCTGGGGCCGTGCCATGTGAACTCGCGGCAAACACAGTTATGAGAACTTTGGGTAAAATATGTTGTTCGTTGAAGAATCTTCCTGAAATCATCCTTCGGTTCTTCCTCAAATCATCCTCCCTCCACATTCCGGCTCCCAATCATCCAAAAAATCATCCTCCAAATTATCCACCTCAACCTAACATCTTCCTATGTGAAAGCTCCGGCTTCCCAATCTTCCTACAATTATCCTCAAAATTTTCCTCCACATCATCCTACAATCATCTTACGTCAAGATTCCGGCTTCTCAATCTTCCTGAAAATCTTCCTCCAAATTATCCTCAAATCATCCTATGTCAAAATTCCGGCTTCCTTATCTTCCCTAGATGGGATGTTGTTAGGATGATGAAGCAGGCTGGGGCCTTGCCATGTGAAATCACGAACACATGGCGTGACAGGCTGGCATCTTGCCATGTGACCTCACGAAGAACACGAAAAAACAGGGCGCGACAGACAGGCTGGGGCCTTGCTATGTGAACTTACGAAAAACACAGGGCGGGACATACAGGCTGGGGTCTTGCCATGTGGGCTTGCGAGGCGTGACACACAGGCTGGGGCCTTGCCAATGTGAACCCTCGAAAAGCACAGGGCGTGCCCGTCAGAACCCGCTCGAGACCCCCCTCCTCCGCGGAACCCACGCTGGACCCCTGCTGCAGATCCCGCTGCAATGTGCTCCGCTAAAACGGGCTGAAGGCCCCAAAGCTCAAGCTGTTAGGAAAAAACGCTCAGAGTCTTGAGGAGAGCTCTGTCGGACTGATTCTTTGTCCCGAGGGGCGAGGCTGCCTGCTTGCCAGCTGGAGAAGTGGAACTCGCGCTTCAAAGCATGCGTGATGTTCGTCATGACCTGAGCATTTTGTCAGACGCCCCACCGGGCCCCACCACACCCCAGGTGGGGGTAAGGGGTGTAACGGAAATCGGGAGTGTAACGGAAACCAATCCGAAAATATAACAGAAACCAAACAAACATGTAACGGAAACTACGCCCCCAAACCTGGAAACAATACGCAGGTGTAACGGAAACCATACAGACCTGCGACGGAAACCAAAAAGAGATGTAACAGAAACCACGGAAAACTAAACCCGAAACCGTGGCCCCTAAACCCCTCAACCCCAGCTCGGAAACTAGACTCGAAACCCCAGACCCTAAACTTCCCTAACCCCTCAACCTATGAGGGCTGGGTACCCCAATCCTTTCTTCGCCCTTCATCTCTCTGTTTGGGGCAGTTGGTTTCTGTTACGTCCCGCAATTGTTTCCGTAACGGTCCCACGTTGGTTTGGGTTACACCCTCCGGTTATTTCTGTTTCGGTGTCGGGGAGACCCGCCAGTTTCCGTAACAGACTTTACTCCCGCACACCACACCTCACACCACACGTCTCGCAAATCGCAACGCTTCTCACAAGATCCCCGCCTTGAGCCGCAGCGAGGGGGGGGACCAACCCCAAAAAATGCGGAGGAGGGATCCCGTTTCATTGCACACCTCTGTGGGGGCCTGGCGCTTAATTCAAGAAAAAAAGGGGTCCCCCACACAACAGCGGCAGCTTCTGAACACCGGGGTCTGTACACCCATGGGGCTCTAGGTTATCACTGATCCCCAAACAGCCCCCGAAAACCCCTAAGATCCGAAATCCCCTACAATGTCCTACAACTCTGGACTGGGTCTGAAGTTGCCTGAACCCTTTCTGGGTTCCGAGTTCTCTCCGTGGTCGCCGCGGCTTCTTGAGCAGGCTGTTAAATTCGCCTCGGCTTCCTGCCGAGAAGCGTCTGGAACAAGCAGACCCGGATCGGGCCTCCTTCCCCCTAACCCAACCCTTCCCCCCATGCCGAATTTTCTGACGCCACCCCCCCCCCCGCCCTGTGGGACCCCCCCCAATCCCTTGGAGGAGCTGCAAACCGATGCCGTCCCGCTTGTCGGTGGCTCCTACAGGGGGAGTGCCTCAAAAACCCCCCCGCCCCCCCCCCCCCCCCCCCCCCCCCCCCCCCCCCCCCCCCCCCCCCCCCCCCCCCCCCCCCCCCCCCCCCCCCCCCCCCCCCCCCCCCCCCCCCCCCCCGTCCCCCCCCCCCCCCCCCCACCCGCTCTGCCCTTCCCTTTTTTTGAGAAACCCTCTTTCCTCCTTTCCTGTCCTGGGGCCGGCCCGGCTGCCGAGGCGGCGCGCGCAAGCGTTTACAATTACCGCGCGGAGTGTTCAAGCCTTCAAGCTCTCAACCCCATGCCGGCTGCAATGCAGCAGCAATGCCCTCTACAACTTCTGTGGCGACCCCCTCGCTTTGCCCCGTTTGCATCCGGTTGTTGTGGCCACAGGCGGCCGAGGCGGATCGCGTAGCGGCGCAACGTGAGAAAACAGCGTAACCTGAAAAAACACGAGAACCAAGCCGCAATCATGCCAGCTCCTTCGCAGAGTGGTAAGAGAACCATCGGCAGGAAGGCCATTGCTTGATACCAGCCGATGCCAATCTCATCAATGAGTTCGGGCAATCTGGCCGCGGTCAGAGGACCCTGTTTCGTCCGTCGCAGCAACGTGATTTGCGAGCCTCGCAGCGCGCTTCCACTTCAACAAAAAGCAAGACAAGGATTCGACAGAATCCAACCCGCGTTGCGACACCTCGTCTCTGGACGAGCAATGAGCTCGCGCGGCTACGCCGCGCAGCCTCGCAACTTAGACTGCAGCGAGTCTTCGAAGTGTTCGTTGCAAAGAAAGCCGTATTACATGGTCTCTCTCTCCCTCGCCAGCTGCGCCTCGGAGCTCTTCATGCTCCCCCGAGGGCCCCTGACACTGAACAATGCGCGCATGTGGTGGAAAAAAGACTTTGAGAAAGCAACCGCAACTGTACTCAAAGGCCTGCTCCCATCGGCACCGTCGGCACCGTCGGCACCCAGAGCTTCAGGCCCTTCCGGCCCTTCCGGCCCTTCAGGCCCTTCAGGCATCGCATCTCCCGGAGTCTGCCGACATCCAAGAGAAGACAAAGACAAAGAAACACAGAGCCCCTCCAGAGGAGCCCCTCTGAGAGAGCCCCCGCGAGTCTGCTTTTGAGAGCAGAGGGTGTGGAGCTTTTTGAGTTTTCAGACAACTGGCGCGTGACGCGGGCCCGGCGCGGTCCGGCGACCCCAATTGACCCCCGTTCCTCTGTGAGCCGACACAAAGTTCGGGAGGCATTTCTCAAGCCACTAGCAAGACGTGGCGCGACACTGGGGGCAAACAGGGATGAAAAGCGGATACTCCGAGACTCAGAGGCCTACGGGAAGGAGGTTCGGGAGAGCTTTAAGGTGTATTCTTTGATTTTTTCTCTTGATGTTTTATCTCTCTCTCTCTCTCTCTCTACTTCTCTCCGATGTTGAACACGAATCGCTATGGACTGTTTCGTTGCTCAATTGACTAGTAAAACGATTGAAATCCATTTTTCAATCGCAGCATAACCTTGTAAAACCAATGGAAAAACTTAGCAGTATTCAACACACAGCATGCCATCAAAACACTAGCATTACAGATCGAAATCAATAGGGGACAGTTTGCAGAATCAATAGTTCAATGTTCAAAACCAATAAGGAATTGGAATCATTTAGAGCTTTGACAGTTCACATCAACCGCACGAGTTGCGTGACACCGCCCCTGACCAATCTTTTCTATTTCGGGTGGTCCAAAACACGCCCACCTTCCCGCTCTCAGCGCTCTCACGACTTTCACCCTCTACCCCCCTCTTACCCCCCTTTCCCGACGAGGTGAGACGGCCATGACTACCGGAAGCAACCAAACAGCACAGAACAACACACAACACACACGAGAAAAGCAAAACGGAAGCAATCCAATCCTAAGGTGAAACATCCCTCTCTCAGAACACGAAGAGGTCGAAGTAGACCCGTTGTGGCTTGACTCGCGCTGGCGTCAAATGCGACAGTACCCTTAAATTCTGTTGTGCAAGAATGGGTCCCCCGCTTTGGGCCCACGATGCTCCCGGTCTTGATGAAGTGGCCAGGTGATGGGGCCCGAGAGATTGCAAAGACCCGAGTCCATATGCTACAAGAGACCTTCATGGACGCCAAGGCGGAGAACGGAAGAGCCTGGATGACGAGGAAGTGGCAAGATATGCCATACTCGCAAGCAGCTAGCTTTCCTCGCCGACCATGTTGGACAAGCACGTGGGTGGGGTGGGCGGAGCGGCATGCACTGCGGCCCTTAAAAGTGAGTTGATAGTGTGTAGGGAGCCATTACGCGGAGAGCGGAGGGGCATGCACTGGGGCCCTTTAACATCAGCTGAGAGGGTCTAGGGGCATGAGGCCATGGGACCATGGGACGCTCCGCCCCGCTCCGCCCCCCACCCACCCCACCATAGCTGAATGGCTTCCTTCATGGCACGAAGCCTCCATCCCACGAAGCATGCCCTCCATCCCTCCATGGTGCTCAGGGCCCCATGGTCCCATGACCCCATTGCCCCATGCCCCCGCCCACCACCATGGCTGCGCCCGCATCATGGCCCCCATCGCCCCATGGCTCATAACCGTCATAACCCCATGGCCCCATGCTCAGGGCTTCGGGCTTAGGGCTGAAGGCCTAAAGGCTTAGGGCTCAGGTGGTGTTGGTTCAGGCAGATGAGCTAGAATCGCGCTGCCGACTCTCGATAGCTTGTGGTGTTAAGGGTTTACGTTTGAGGGTTTAGGGTTTAAGGCTTCAGGGCTCCAAGTGGGTTTCGTCTGTTTGGCTGGTTCAGGAAGGGGGGAGGGGGGGGGGCTTTACCAGCTTTAGAGATTGGTCACGCTTCAAAAACGTTCCTGTCTGCCCAGCTGCAACGACGGGGTGTGGGGTCGGCGGCACTGGCGGTAGCCATTAAATCGGGCAGCGCGAGGTCCCCAAGGACCGAGCATTGGCGGACCTTTTGGGTCGTCCTTGCTGGCCTTCGGCCTTCTGCGAAGCAGAATTAGGCCGGACGCCAGTGCCGCCGACCCCCGAGTGCCCCCGGTGAAGTTTTTTTTTGTGTTGCCGCCACGGAGGCCCTCAGAGGGCGCGCATCATGAGCATCAGCGGGTCCAGCCCGGGACCCCCAGGCATCAGCGGCTCCCGGGGCGGGACCCCAGCGGCGCATCAGGAGCATGATGCCCCCCAAAGGGCGGGCATAAGCGACGTGTCTCAGGGCGGAAAAAGAGTTTAGGGGCCTTGTAAAGTGCTTAGAAACTTTAAGGGAGTCTAGGAGCCTCATGTAAATGCTTAGAAACTTTAAGGGAATTCAGGAGCCTCAAACGCTTAGAGATTTTAAGGGAGTTTAGGGGCCTCATAATGCTTAGAAAGTTCAAGGGAGTGTAGGAGCCCCTACGCTTAGAGAAACCCCAACCCTGTGACGGATCTGCTCGCCCCGCGCTTCTGCCTGCGCTGCCCGCCCATGGGCGCAGCCCCCTTAAAATAATGGTGGTTTTGAGGTTTAATGCTGCTGCGAACCAGCAGGCTGGCACAAGTGGAGTAGCTAATTCCCCTGCACCGGGCAACGCAGACATGGCTCAAACAGTAGGCGGAGTTCAGCGCCGACTTCACACAGAACCTTGCCCTACTTCTGAGGGCGGTGCAAGGACAAACCGACACAAGGGGAGCAGCAGAAGCACTGAAGCGGCCCCCCGAGTGGACAAGAAGGCGGAGTTTCCTTTTGCACAGCAAACAGAAAGGACAGATCTGTGATGTCTACTGCGCGCGAATGTTGTAGGGCGTTGACACCTGCAGGCTATATGCTGTACATACTTAGGCTGTGCAGGCTGGCCGGCACGTGTTGTCTGGTGTACCATCTCGCGGTGTACCACCGACGGCAGCGTTAAATGGCACGCACGCCCGTAGCAAAACAGTTCACTCTTTGCGCTTGCATCTTGCCGGCATGTGTAGTGTTGGCACGAGTCTTGCCGGCAGAACTACATGCTTTCGGTTCCCTCGTGGACGTTGTCCAATCGCGATCTCGCCTAGGCCGCGTGTGCGCTTTGTGGTGTTGATAGGTGGAAATCGTGCTCTCCGCCTAAGCCCCGTGCTAGTTTAGAGCCGTGCACATTTGGACCTTATATAGTGAGTCGGACGTTAAGCATGTGGAACACTAGGACTATATGGCCACAAAGCAAATTTAGGCCGCGTACAGTGGGACACTAAAACACTAAGCAAATTTAGACCCTACACAGTGCAGTCCTCAGCAAGTTTAGACCCTAGAACTTGGGACGCTCAGCGAATTTAGGCCCCTCATACAGCATAAATTTGCTGAGTGGCCCCGGTTGGAGAGCAGCGAAATCAGCTTAGTGCCCATCGTTGCGATGAAAAACCTGGCGTGCTGTCCCACTATTTGGGGGCTGACTTCTGTTGCTTAGTGTTCCATTGCGCCTTGGTGCCCCACCGTACAGGGAATAACTTTGCCGAGTGTCACTGTGTCACTTGTGTAGTGTCCCACAATATGAAATCCCAAACAGCCCACTATACAGAGTCGAATTTTTACTTCGTGAAAACAAGATTTTAATGTACATAACATCCCAATGCAGGGCCTTATCTTGCTGAATGTCCCTATATCAGGTCTACATTTCTTAGTGTCCCACTATATAGAGTCTAAACATTGCTTAGCAGCCATTGCATAATCTAAATTCGCATAGTGTCCCACTAGAAAAAATTGTCTAAACCGCTGAGTCTCCCTAGGGTCTAGATTTGCTTAGTGTCCCACTATATAGGGGTCGAAATTTGCTTAGTGTCCCACTGTACAGAACCTAAATTTGCTTAGTCTTTGTAGCGTCTACAGTTGCTCAGTGTCCCGCTACTCATGAGGCGTGGGGAAAAATGAAACCCGAAGACGCCCGAATGAAAGTTTGAAACCATACAAAGCTTATATTTGATGAGCATTTGTGTCCTACATAGGGTAGCGTCTAAATTCGCCTGGTGTCCCACTATAGGGCTCAAATTTGCGAAGTGTGTCACTAACACTATGGACCCCACACAATTCTGGGTCTTTCTGTCTTTCCTTTCGCTCTTTCACAGGGTCTAGGGGGTTGCCTACGCGTGCCCTGTGATGTGAAACTCCAGCCCAAACACACGCCGTGCTCAGGGCCCTTTCCCCGGATTGCAAACTCATAAACCCAAACCCCCGACTTCCAAATCTTAAGCCCATTAAAATCTTCCTAGCTTCCTGCCTTCCTACCTTCCTTCCTTCCTGCACGCATGCCCTCCCCCCCCCCCCCCCCCCCCCCCCCCCCCCCCCCCCCCCCGACGAAGGGGGCTGAGCAGATCGGAGCTTCCCCGTTCCACATTTATTTGGGTACTTCGGGAGGTCACCATTGGATCAGTACCCTGCTTTGGGAGAAAAAGTCTGCTTTGGCCAAAACGAGTGGATGGTGTGGCACTCCCCGTACAGGAGACAGGCTGGCGAGTACTGACATGGACAAACAGATATTGTAGGGTAACAACCCATTCACATCCCTCTCTCTCGCTTCCTCTTTCTCTCTTTCTTGGTGTCTGCTCTCCTCCTCTTCATGGGTCGCAGCAGCACCCTTCCCAGCACTGGCAGCACTGCGGGAAACCTCCGAGTTCAGTCCGCGATCTCAGAGGATGCCCCTCAGGATGCCATATTGTTTCTTGAGTTTCTTGCTCTTTTTCAAGCGCTGGCTCTTCTTTTGCGCTCGCCAACAGCAGATGCCAACGCTGCGGTGCCCGCGGCACCCCTTCGGGGGCAGGGCAGCAGGGGTCTCCAAATTCGAGAGAACTGCCGTCAGAGGAGAGCAGGAGGGAGGGAGAGAGAGAGAGAGAGAGAGAGAGAGAAAAAAAAAAGAGAGATGCTCATTCTGCGAGGGCGCTCTGCAGCTTTGCTTCAGCTGGGCCCGACAAGGCCAACACACACTCTCAGCACACCACTCTCCACGTGCCATATTGTGGAGCTGTGGAGCCTCCCCCAATTTTGTGGGGTGGAGCGGGCGCGCGAAACGCGCACTTGAGACACCGGAGAGAGCTTCTCGCAAGGCCTGCAGTGCGCATGGGAGACTGAAAGAAGAATCGCGGAGTTCAAGATCGGCTCGCACAGGAGCACCCCAAGATCTGCGCCGGGTGGCCTCTTTTTGGTCAGTGCCGGGTGACGTCATGGACGCCACTGTTCCGCAAAGCTCGCAGAGGGTTGAACCTGGACACGCGCGCACACACACACACACCCAGAGAAACGACCGTGCGGGTTGAGTGTCTACTCAAAAAATCAAAGAGAGCAGAGAGAAGTGTGCAAGGAAGTGAAAGGTGCTGTTAGACGAGGAAGAAAGAGCGAGAAATGTGATGTCTTGCGCTACTCGTTGCGCGGCTTTGCTGGCACCTCCTTGCCAGGTCCTGCAGGCTCCCGTCGGTGTGCCTCGCCCCGGCCCCGCTCAGAGAGCAAAGAGGCGTGGGTCCCCGAAATCAAAACGAGCAGATTCATCAGACATCTCTCCTTCCCTCTCTCTCTCTCTCTCTCTTTTCCCTCTCTTTTTTCTCTCTCTGCTCTCAACTCTCCCCGGCACCTTTCGGAATGCTCGAAGCGGACCCGGAGGTCCTGCACGCCAAGGGCTCTCTCCCCGCAAACTCAACCAAAATAAGCGACTCAATTAAGCGCGTTTTTTAGTGAATCTTCCACTGCAAGACAAGCATCTTCCACTGCAAGACACTAGGTGTGGGCCATCGCCTCGAGAGAGAAAAAAACCAAACACAACTGGCATTCAGCCATCTGCTTTCTTGGAAACTTCTCAGCACAGCACAGAACGTGCTGCACAGAACGTGAAGCCACTAGGCAGGCCGAGTGTGCGTTCTCGGATCGAATCTGGGATTCTCGATGATTCACGTCGTGTACGAAAAGTGGCACAGAAAGATAGAGAGCCGAGAGTCTCGAGGACGGAACGATTCAGCGCGGCCACGGAACGAGTCGCCCGAAATGCTACAGTCGGCGGCAGTGACAACAAGGCCCTTGTTCGTCGCTTTTTGCCGTGATAGCTTCAAACACAAGATGTTGCCCATCTCCCCTGCAAACACTGGCGCAACTCTTTTCAAACATCTTCCTCTGGAAGTGCTCTGAGAGTGCGCTCTGTGCCATTTCACCAACTTCCATCCCCAGCCCCTACCCCCCAACCCCCCACCCCTGTCCTCTGTGCGCGCTGTGGTGGCCGCGCCAGCCTGCTCCTCGCTCCCAGTACAAACGAGGGCTTGAGGAGAGGAGGAGAGGAGGAGAGGAGGAGAGGAGGAGAGGAGGAGAGGAGGAGAGGAGGAGAGGAGGAGAGGAG